TAAAGATTTGTCACACTACGGCACCAACCTTTTGACGTCGCGGCATAAACATTCTACCCCAAATCATCTTTTCGCACCGCAGTGCAGAAAAACCATGCCGCGGCACAGAAAAATTATGTTGCGGTGCCATCCGCCAATTTCACATTCTTTCTTTTGCTTGACGATTCGATTTTTCTCTTTAGCAAATCCAAAGCCTTCAACCATCGTGTGAGTACAAAGTCACCATTTTTTCGCCTAAAAACCTGAAACTCATACACATACCCATGATTCTTGAAAATAGAAAAATATAAAGAAACTTGCATAAAAATAATCTATTATAGTCATGAATTTCAAACAATCTACCCATAGAATCACAGAATATAAATACCATTTCACCATTCAACACTTATCCACCTCACTTTTGAGAGTTGTATAGCACTCTAGGTCCATGGCTCTCTTTTTTTTGGCGAACTGATCTAATCACGATCAATGTTGAGTGCATGGCACATGACTTCAAGGCTGATCCCGATCATGTCGGCATATATCCATGAAAAAAAATCGATATTTTTTCTGAGGAACCTGATTAAATTAGTTGCAAGCTGGGGGTTGTAATTACTTTCAATTATCAACATAGGAATGGCTCATGCTCACCGATAATTACCTCAAACAATGTCTCTATTGACCCACTGTAGGAATTCCCTCCTAAATATGAGGATCAATGTTATCCTCCATTAGGCCATGTTGTGGCTTCATCTTGCTGGTCGCCATTGACTACTCTGGATTGCCCTCGGGCTTTCCTTTCCCCTTGCATGAAATCTAGACTGCTTGATTGTAGTAGTCATGAGATTCACGTTGTGATCCCCTCACTCCCCCACACCTTAACGGAGTAGGGAACTTCATCTACTGGTAGTAGATAGAAGTGACGGCTTTGAAGTTGCAATAGTGGTCATCCAATGATGCCATTGAATGTAGAGGGATAGTCCACTACCAGGAATTCTGTCATCTTGGTTACTTTGTGGGGATCACCCAAAGTGACTGGAAGAGTTATCAGTCCTCGGAGAGTTAGATGGTCCTTGGTAAAACCATAGAGAGGAGTGGCTACTGGCTTCAGGTCTATATCTTCCAACTTCGTCTCCTCAAAGGCTTTCTGAAACAGGATATTCACGACGCTCCCATTGTCCATCAACATTCTGTGGACTTCGTACATTTCTATCTCAATAGCAATGAATAATGCCTCAACATGAAGGTGATGCACTTGTCTTGCATCTCTTTTAGAGAAGGTTATTTCTTCTTCTCTACGCTATTTGTGAGGTCGCTATTTCAAATTGAGAACATTGTAAGGCTCATATCGGGCTTCTTATGCATGCTAAGAGGGTTGCCTTGACACTTAAGGGTTGAAGCCCTGTGAAGGCGCTAAGTAGCTTGGGGAGTTTTTCCTGCTAAGTAGCTTGGGGAGTTTTTCCTATCTCTGCAATGGTCGAAGCCAACGCTCTGATGGTGGGTGTTTCCCTCTCGGTGATGGTTGGAACCATCATGCCGATGATAGTGGGAAACTCCCTGCTTGGCACTTTCATGAGTGTGCTCATGTAATGTGCCATGGGACTACTCTTCTATGAAGTACTGCCAAGCCATTGAACAGGACTTTTGTGTCTCTGTTCGTGGGCAGTATTCGAACGCCCTTTTAAGCCTTTTTGCCCTTGATCGACTATGTGTTTACCCTTTTGCGTTGTAATGTATATGGTATGACGATGTGCTCATTTCCACGCTTTTGCGCAACCTGTAGGCATCTTTGGGGGTGGTACCACCTTGTTTGAATTGGGTGGTACTACTTTGTCCAAATGATCTAGTCATTAGTTCATCGTTTGGAGAGTGTTGTCAAACTTTTCCAAGTAACGAATTAAGGCAGGATCCGCTTGGGAGGTCGAGGGCATGCTCCCTACAATGTTTTTAGGGAGTAAGAGCTCTTTCGAGATGAGTTGTTTGTTGATTGTAGGAATCTCCTCGTTGTTGCCAATGCTAGTACGCTCAGTTTTGAAGCCATGAACCATGTGAATTTTTGGTTTATCTTCGAAAGAGAAACTGACGAGTCAGTTGAGTTTACTGGATAAAGAGCTGATGTGAATATAGGCCCCCCTTCTAGCGTCGAACTATTGATGCTTGATTTTGACACCAACAACTTCACAAATGTAAAATGCTAAGAAGTCTCACGTGAGATGATTATTGTAAGTGGGTGAGGTGTAAGTGGGTGAGGTACTGTAGGCACAGTAGCATGCAAAGACGTAAATATAAAGTTGACAAGAGAATTTTTACAATGGTTCAGATGCTTAAACCAAATCATACATCCACTGTGTTTTTCATATAAATTTGTTCCTGGTCGTTAGACAGGCTTACAAGAGGTCATGAACTGTGATCTGGTATTATAAGTGTTTGGTGTTCTAAATATCTGATCTCGATTTTGTGAGGAGGAGCTGCCTATTTATACATGTTTTGCTCAAGATAATGATTACACTTTTGCAAGTGGCTTGATGTCGTGAAGACCTCTCCTATCTTCGCATTCGTTGAGAACTCAAAGAATATCCTTAAATTAAATAGGGCTTGGACAGATGTGCGAACCAAATTCATCCAGGGACAAATTCTTGAGTTAGTTGGATTGTTGACAACTATATTCCTTTTGCCTTTCGGGACGTGGCATGTTCTAGACAGTGGAATGTTCTTTTGAATTTTGATTAGTGCTTGATGACGTCAGCATAGGTCAACCTTATTTTAGGAATAACAGAATCTATCACCTTCATAGATATAATTTGTTAGATTTTAATTTGAATGGCTCTCAAATCTACCACCAAAGCAAATCGAACTAGGAATGCGTTCCTGAATTCTGCTCAAGCTAAGAATCTTAAAACAAACCTTATTAAAAACTATGACAAATCCTATTTTTGCAAGACTAAATAAACTACAACTTTTAGTAAAACTAAATAAACTTAGTTTAATTTCCAACAAACTCATTTCTTAAAACAATTAATTCACCTGAAATTTGAGAAACATAAGTTATGTTCCAATAAACATAAACAATCAATAAATTTTATTTGCAATGAAAAAAAAAAAAAAATTTGTATAAAGTAATACCGTCAAAATAATAACCTATTTATTAAGTCCTATATTATGCCAGAACATATGTGTTCATAGCTGATCAACTTTGTCAAACACCCAAGTTTAAAATAACAGAAGTGCCAAGTTCAGGTTGAGGTAGCGTTTCTAGGCTACCTAGGAACCAACCTTTTTCCATATTGCTAGTTCACCAAACTCCTGGACCTTCACCTAAAACAGTTTTATCTATTTGGTTATATTGAATCAATGCATGAGATCAAACATGCGTCGATGAACCATCAGATTGATTTCCCAAACAATCCAAAATCAAAACTATGTGGGCTGTATGGTATTTGTCTGAGTCAAAGGTTAGTTGAATTACCCAAATCATAACCAGGAACTTTTGTGGATTGCTTAAGAGTTTGGGTTTTCTGGGAATCCCCAACTTTAAGTTAAACTTGCAGGTAGTCCTATTAGGGAGGTAAACTAACCAATGTTTCTCTATACTTTCCCCAACCACAACTCATCAAACTTTGATTCTAACTAAATGACCAACCGTAGTTCAACATTTCCATCTATATAAGCCTATTTGATATGAGTAACTCTTCAAGAAAACACATACTAGAATTTGCCCATTGTTTACAGATTCCAGCAAGAGTCTTGTACCTTCTGCTATTATCCAAAAATGGCATTTTCTAAAGATTTTCTGGCTCTTTGTTTGTTGATAGCACTATCAATCTCCAGCATTGACATGAGCCTGGCAGCTCGCCATCTTTTGGACACACCGGCAGCTCCACCTCCAGCATTAACACTGCCTACAATTCCATCTCTGCCGAAGGCCACATTGCCTCCATTGCCCTCAGTGCCAACTTTGCCTAAGGCCACATTACCGCCATTGCCCTCGACTCCATTGCCAACACTGCCGACGCAACCAACTCTTCCAAAGCCCACACTGCCACCTTTGCCAAGCACCCAAATCCCATCTTTGCCACAACCTACATTGCCCACCATCCCCGCAACCCCTAAGGTTACACTGCCCCCATTGCCATCTACTCCTCTGCCCACAATCCCCACCATCCCAACAACAATACCAACCATTCCATTCCCCTCCCCACCCCCATCTAAATGAGCTAATAGTCCTTGAAATGCCACGGTTACCGGTTATTACCACCAGTTAGAATGTTTCTCGGATGTGTTTCAACTTTCAAGTCAGATATCGTGGGACCTGCCATGGCACAAGTGCTTTTTCGCTGGACTTGAGTTAGTCCATATATATTTGTTTTAGTCCATATATATTTGTTGTTTTGTGGATCATTGATTTCATTCTCATCCAGAGAATCTTAGTGTGTCTCTTTCTGTTCATTATTTATATTTTATAGTAATGTATGGAGTATATTTTATTATGTATTAGTCTTACTCTTCTTGATACAGATGTTATAGTTCTCAAAACAAGCTCTTTTAAGGATATGGCCATGATTATATCATGGATATAAATATTATTTTAATTTATGCTACATCTTCAAAATGTCTAAGGATGAACAAAAGTAGAAAAGCAGCACATAAGGCTGCAAGGAACCAGCAAATATCAAATGACCTGCAGGCACAAAGGCATTAACTCTAGTCCCAAACCAAACAGGCAAAAGCCAATCACCACAAAGATTTCATTTAATTTATAAAATTGTCTTCAAATTCCAGATTCTCCATTGAAAGAACTAGTTACAAGAAAATGAATAAAACATATATGCAATTAACGTTGGTAAAGTTGCTATTTCTGAACAAGAAAGTGAATATAACTGTATTTAGAAGTGAAAATATATTGGAGAACTGCTTATCTTCAATTCCGACTTGAAGCATTTCTGTTCTAAGAGGAAAAATACTAATAAACACTATAAACTTAGAAGTTTTGCATCAATGGACAAAGCTGGCAGCCAAAATCCTTGAATAAGAAACTAGTAACATTGGCATTAAACTGAACATTCTGTTGCAAAGACATAAATTCAGGTGATAACATCATCCTTATCTAAAGTTCTTATCTTTCTCAATGGTCTACAAGGATCCAGTATTATTACATTTTGCTATGGAACTTCCATTTCTAAAATTTTATTTACAACAATAAGATATCAGGTCAACAATCGCCTTTTCAGAATTAATTAGTATCACCCGGCTATTAATTTTACAGGAAATAGCCCCAAAACAACTTATTAGCAAATTCAACCCCACTTGCAACAATTTTTTTTCTCTAAAGCAGGGAAGGAGATGTGCATACCCCTCCTGGAACAGTTCCCTTCATGAAGTTATCAGAAGTGTTGGCAGTCTTTTTACTCGAGTATGACTAGTAAAGTCGGTCTCAGTGTTTATAGAAAACTATATCTCGGCTACAATTGGCTTTGATCGCATCCTCCAAATTCTCAACCCGATCAAAATCAACTTTGAAAGTAACCATGGTGACTCCATCTTTACCAGTATCATAATCCTGCTTGATGTCCTCAACTTGAAACGATTGTAGCTGTGAAAATCAAAATGAGAGTTAAGTTAATGTTGAAATTACCATATGGAAGACATTTCTAGAGCTAGAAAAGACCACAAAAAGCAACAATGAGAATGTAGCACAATAGAATGCCATATTTGTTGAAGACAACTTAGGCAATAAGAATTCTATATACCATGAAGGTTGGTCAACATCTTAAGTTTTGCGGTACTTATGGTTAATTCAGAGAAGAACTTAGCAAGAGCACAAAACAGGCTACAGAATATGAAAAAGAAAATCAAATTATGCTGTTAAGATTGCAACATGACAGGTTTAAAACTTATAGACCTCCATAATGAAAATAAAGCATGACTATCTAACAGTGATAGCAGAAACTGGAAAATCCTATTTGAACGCCAAGACTGTTGCATGCAAAATTCAAATCACAGTTAAGAGGAATGAGTGTTATTGACATGCATTAATACAAATTGAGAGTTCACCTGATGATATAATAATCCCAAAAGTTCAAATGGAACCTCTACACCCATTGGAACCTACAATATCCAACAAAAAACTTCCAACAATGAACATCAAGAAACAAAATTAATTGGAACCTTTACCATAAGATATGATAAATATGTAAGTAGTTTTACCAATCAAAGTGAAGCCCAAGAAAGAAGTTAATTACCTTAGATTTGACAAGAATAGTAGGTGCATTTCTCAAGCATTCAGATGCCACTCCACCATAAGCCCTAACAAGTCCTCCAGTACCCAGTTTTATACCTCCAAAATACCTTCAGTTTGCGAATAAAGTTGAAGTAAAATATACGGAGATGTAATTAATAAGGGAACAGAAACGAGACAAAGAAAATTTAAAGGGTTCCCAAAACTAAATGATTATACCATACTTGAGCATTTGTAATTTCATATATTCTGTGGGTTTCACATGCACCCACAAAATGCTTACCTCACAACACCGATCTGAATTTTCATTTTTCTTTTCCTACACATGAAGCCTTCAAACAAATTTGATGCAAATAACATCTGAGGTCAATTTCATTTACTTCAGATAGGTATGTGATGATGAATGGCTTATAAAAATTTTCATAATCTCAAAGGAGGTTTCAACTCAGTCGTAAGCCTGTACTTTAGCTAACCTCACGAGGAACTCAAGAAAATATTCCAAAAAAATCTAGTAAAAGAAATGGGCAAACACAAAAGTCTTAAAAAAAAAAAAAAATCACCTTGTGACAACGACCATAACTCTATCTAAACCAGAAGAAACAATAGCAGAATGAATAGGTTTGCCAGCAGTACCCGAAGGTTCACCATCATCATTAGACCGGTATTGATCTCCAACCTACAAATTATATCACATAACTACATTTACAAATCAATTCAAATCTACCAAACAATACAATTATTATTCAAACACCATACCTTATAAGCCCAGCAGTTGTGAGTAGCGCGAGGGTCCCCAACCTACACAAACAACATGAAATAACATCCATTTAATGAAAAACGAAATTGTCAACGTGGATTATATAAATATAAAATACCTGAGAAAGGAAAGAACGGGCAGATTGTTCGTTGGAAATAGGTCCAGCGATGGCGATGAATTTGCTCTTTTTGATTTCTTTCTGAAAAGTTACTCTCTCTTTGATTGTAGTGTATGCGCCTGCACTGTTGCCGTGGCTACTGCTAGCTAACGAGGTGACCATTGGAGCTGCCTTGGCGCGGGTGAGTGAGAAGAGTGAGCGATGATTGAACTTGTGGCAATAGTTGTGTATTGTTGTGGCCACAGGCATTTGGTTTTTGTTTTCTTTTGCAGTAGACTTTCAATGCCTGCCTCTTCCTCTTCGCTCGCTTATGCCCCAACCTTAAATTTATTTTCCTTTTTTGGGGCTTCGGTTGACTGGTGAACGTGTTTGTAGCCTGAATGACTTGTCAATCATTCTATTAATTTTCTGGCTCTTGTAAACATCATGTTATTTTTGCGGCTTCGGTAGACTGGTGACGATTGGAGATATTTGCATTTGTTGTAAATAATAAACTTCTATTTCATTTCACCCATAATCTCTATCCATCAAACTGCGATTTCAGCTACTCCAGCCCAGTCGATGCCAATTAAAGATGAAGTAACGGAAAGGAAAGATGGATAACAAGTCTAGAGAGATTAGGGGGCGACTGATAATTAACTTTCTTCATTATATTTCAATAGATTGCTTAATTTAATATCAACTCAAACCTCGATAAAACGTTTGAGCTGACGTATTGTCACTTGCTCTCCTTAATCTTACATCATAAGGATTAGCCGAGAATACATTGTCAGAATTAACGCCCTTTCTGCTATTACTAACAAACCGGTGGCTTAAGTTTTCATAATGTTCAATTGAGTCAGTATCCAAAATTTCAGGGTTTCCATCTTGTCTCCAACCCTCTCTCCAGTCATCTGGGTCTGTGTTGAAGTTCTGCGAGGAAGATGTAACCGAGTCTGATAAAATCCCATAGCGGCTGTACCAGCTAGGTCCCATTTCACCAAATATGAAATCAGTTAAGTCCTCACTCCTTGAAGAATCCTTCGTACTAGCTGTGCTGCAAGAACTGGCATCGGACCAGCTGAAAATGGAAGAACTTTCACTTAATGAATCTACAGTTGGAATTCTTCGCATTGACTGATATCTCCATTCATCTCCATAAGGCATCTGATTGTTGGTTAAACCAAACTTTTGCCTAGCTGGAATATCAGATTTAGATTTCTGCTTGGAAGCATTATGGCCAGAAGGAACAGCTTCCCAACTCCTCCTCTTGGACTTCACACCATGACACACCACATTATTTCTCATCAAAGTTGGAGGCCGTGGAGAGTGCCTGAGAATAAGAAAACTGAAAGTGCTAATGCTCCAATAAAGTGAAGAATATATATTTTATCAATCCAGCCATACTGATAGATTACCTTGCATACAAGAGCATGTATGCCTCTTGTAATAAGACCACCTCCAACTCTACAGGCATAACCTACATAATATATCACCAGTCAGTTTATAATTCAAAAACAGATTCCAATCTAATTATTAAAAAAAAAAAAAAAAAAGGATTATCCAAATTCTATAAGTTCAATAAATAAAAATATAATTTATCTATTTATTTTCTAGCATAGTATCGCAACCAGCAAAACAACACTAGTCAACAGCTAGAGTTCATATATGCACAAAAGACACCATTTAACGTATTGAACAAGTTTCATCAATTCTCTTAATAAATTCAAAATTGTGAAAAATGGAAGATGCTAAAAAGTATCCAAAGAATGAACTCCAACCTTGAGGATGCAAGATTTCATAGTAAGTGTACCTCAATTAATCAAGGATGCAAGTATAATTTGGTATTTACAATCCTAAACATTTGATACAATTAGGGGAAAGGGTTAAAATACATATGCAGAACAGTTTTCTTTTGTTCTAAGTCAATTCCAACTTCGAAAGGGGGCAGCTTTTAGTTAAAGGGGATATTTTTCTGTAACAAATAGATAAGAGAGCAAACAAAGCCAAGCCTCAAAGGAACAACAATACTTGTAAACACTAAACACATTAGAGGTAAACAAGAAACATACACTGCTGTCATCAATTCTGAACCACTCCCCATGAGAATCCTTCACATAACAAACATAATGACCAGAAAATGCAGCATGCGTAACATCCAAGTGAACAACCACTGCATAGAGACTGTACACAGGAGATCTGTCGCCAGTTTCACTCATATATGGAGCTATGTTGAGGACATCAGGGAACTGAACTGATTTATTTAACTTCCCAAAGTTTCGAGACTACAAGGCACAAATGGCAGAGCAAACATCAACAATCAAGATCACATAAAAAGCACAGGAACTTGCAGTCAAAGAACTACCTGAAATCTTTTTAAGACAATAGTAAGTATATTTGGCTCCTCCAATATCATCAACTTCTTTTTGGCTTTCTCATATGATTTACACCTGATTGAGACAATATAATGTAAATTTTACTTTGCATCACTAAAGGGTCAAACAAATTATTCAATTACTTTAAGAGACTTGTATTGTAATCAGAGAAGAAACCACAGAATAAAAGTAAGACTTAAAACTTAGATAAAATGGATAACACTTAAAGTGCCAAATGAATGAGATTTTTATTCTAAGAACCTAAACCATGGGGCATAAAACAACAGAACATGTAAATATCTTGATTCTAGGAAATTTGAGCAAGAACTAAGAATGGAAAATGAGCATTTAATTAACCTGTCGCAATGATACTTGTTCTCTCCAACCAAGATCTCAGTAGCTGTAAATTGGGCAAGAGCATCTTCAAGTGTTTCAATGTCCCCATCTATCTCAACAGTTAGATCCATCATCCGCTCACACCACTCAGATTTACTGTGGCATTTCAAGCATTTGATCTGATAAAACCCGATCATGACATTCCAAATAACAAAAATGAGACGACTTCTACTTTGGTAAGGAAAAATAACATTATCATAGATGTATCATCAAGATCATGAACAAACCTTAGATAAAAGGAAACCCCCGAAAGTCAAGCCTATTAAAGTTGTTTCTTCTGCTAATTTTCCTTGGGTCCCAACCTCCTTGAGGCAAACAGATTGCATTGTATCCACAGCACACCTGCCATCTTATAGAGTAATGTCGTAATTCACATTTGCGAAGATAACAAAATTTAAGGCACAATAACTGTAAAACGCCCAAGGTTTCCCTAATATCATAAACCCCTATGGATATCAGAAATAGCTCTGAGACCCTCACTATTTATCAAACGTTAAGAAAATTTTTGTGGATAATCCAATTAAATAAAAACATATCTTGTAGGTTGATTTTGAATTCGTTGCAGATTAGGTTTGGATCGGTGAATTTAGTTGTTTGCTGTGTTGATCTGGGTTATAGGTGCTCGGGTGAGGTGTGGCGGGGTGGAGTGGGGTGGGGTGGGGCAGGGGAAGGTGATTTAAGGACAATGGCAATATAGGTATTTACTAGTCAAATGACAAATTTCAGAACGTTTGCTAATGGTGGGGTCTCAAAGCTATTTCTGATACCTTCGGGGGTGTATAGTACAGTAGGGAAACCTTGGGGGGTTTACAGTTGTTATCCCCAATTTTAATATAAAAACAGTAAATACAAACAAACAGTAGGTTATTAGCTGTTTCACCTTAGAAATTCATGAGCATCTTCTTCTCTCCCATGACCAAGATGACTTCCGATTTTTTCAATCTTGGATAGTATACCTATGGGGGACACAGGAGAGTTTCCCTCCCTTGCCTTCAGAATTAGGCGCTCAAACTCACAAATGAAACACCACTCTTTCTTTCGACCTGGGAAAGATGATAATTGAAAGAATGAGAGTGTTAACGAGCACAAATTCCTAATAATAAACTCGTTGTTAATCCACAAACAAAGCATTAAAAGAACTTACAAGCTCTGGAGTGGAGCCTTTGAACAAGATAGGAACTCAAAGGCTGAGTAAATGCCAAGCATTGGAGCACAGCATTAGCATAACAACTGCAGAAATTCAAGATATTTAGCCATATGAAAAAACAAGAAACTAAATATTTCAATGTTAAATGCCTTATTAAATTACCAAACGAATATGGCCTTGATTTAAAAATCAATGGCTTAAAACCTCTAAATACCCAAAAAATAAATATAGTGGAAAACCATAAACGACGTACACAATACAGACTAAGATAATAAGTGCATGATTTTAGCAATCTTGTTGTTTCAAAAAGTATGAACCAGAAACAACAGCAATGGTTAATTCACCCACCTCGTAGAAGTATTCACCAGAAAACAATATTAAGAGCATGGAAAATGAAGCACGCGAAAACATATTGCATCCATATATTAGTGTTTTATAAATTGAAAAAATTCTAAAATTACCTGTTTCCACAATTTGTAAGGCCAAATGGGGATAATTCCACCTCATCACAAGAGTAAAGTTTCGTGAATAGATCATACGGAAATATTGTCTGTCAAATCAAAAAGAGTAAAAAAAAACAATGAATACTGTGTGACATGGGAATTAAGAAAACCACAGGGCTCCAGAAAACCACATCAAAACATGCAAATAACCTTGTCGTTGTAATTTTCAGCAACCTCAGTCTCTGAACCAAGCACATGAGACTTCAATGGTTTGGAAGCTCTAAACTGCTGCACAACCTTCTGCACCGATGTTTTAAACCCACGACAAGCATTTTGTGGCAGGCTTGGAATATTATTATTTTTTGTGAGGAACACAGACCTAGATATGGTATGTGATTGACCTGCTGCAGCCGAAGATGTCCGAGGAGCAGAAAATGATGAAGATGGAATATCTTTTCCCTTAGGGAGCTTAAAATCATCTTTACTATCTTTAATTACAGAATCTGGCCTTGAAGAACTCAAAAATAAAGAGCTCCTGGATTTAGAAGGGTCTTTAATTAACAATTCAGGCAAAGCACCTCCTCCAACAGGCTTCTTATCACCCAATTTTCCCGGTTGGACATCATTTGGCATGGTTGTCTTCCCATTCGGAAGCTGCGATCTGAAGTTAACCTCTTCATCATTTTGACTCAATTGCATATCATTTGATTTACTTGCAAGAGAAGTGCCACCTATATCATCAACTGAATTAATGGACTCTGAAGATGGTGACATTTTCTGTTTCATCTTCTTGACTCTAGTCCTTGTTCCAGGCATAGGAGTAACAGCATCAGCACTAGGTCTCTCTGGTCTGTCAATATTGCTAGACGGAAAATCAAAATGTGTTCCTTCTTCATCTGCACAAGGCTTAAGATTCACATCATTATCTTTCATTGATACAGCTTCAGAAGAAACATTGCCTTCTATCTCAGAATCATTACTATAACTTCCTAACTGTTTTTGTGATGCTGTTACACCAACAATGCTACCTTCCTCTCTCAATGGCATGGTAGAAATCAAGGGACAACACGCATCCTTGTGACCTTGTCTCCAGTGAATAATTTGACACTTACCAGAACTACAAGTAGAAATATTTAAAAGTAAATACAATAGGAAGACACCAAGTTACTGGAACTGTGCATATTCAGAAGCAAATACAGTAGATATTCAGCCACACATCAACAAAAGCATAAAAATGCAACCAAAACTTTCAGATGATAAAAAAGTCTGTATTCCTAAACATGTCACTGTTGCACTCCTCCCAGTAACATCTCTGAAGATATGCAAGTCAAGTAGAGCTGACAAAAATCCATAATGATTGAGCTCCGACTTGACCAGGACAAATTGAATCAGAAAAGTCATACTAATTGCCAAATTATCATCAAGAATACAAGGCAGGCATTCTACAAGATACTTGAAGATTCATTTTCCAAAGCATATCAAAAGAAATGACAAGCAGCAAGTAAAATAAAACAATCTATCTTTTCTAAAACAGTGTGAAAATCCCACTGAAGCCCCTCTCTCCCTCCAAAAAGCAAAGATGTAAAAATAATAAGACGAATTTCTATAAGGATATTTTCATAAAATAGATAAACCAAACACTGATAGTGGCAGGTTCAGTGTCATTATACATGAAGATTTATCACATCGAAGATAGTTGAATTTTCAACAATGTTGTCCTCACAATGCGAAAATTATATAATGCCTAATCTTCCATGTAAATCTTCAGGTTTCATGCACCATTAAGAAACAATCACTTCTCTACTTTCTTGTGGTTAGGGACATTAAATGCACTAACTACTGCAAAAACAAAAGTACCAGCTTCACTAAATAGTCAGTATCATACATTCTCAAACAAGCAAAGGTCTTTCTCAACCTAGCTACATGATCTCCCAAATATCTTGCCTGACATAGATTTCAATCACACACAGGAAATCAAAATAAGAACAACTTTTTCCATGAAATTACTCAATATCAACACCTTGTCATCAACATCCCACCACCCTAGTACTCAATGACAAGCTGATTCCCTAAATTGTATTTATCTGTTATGATCTACATAGATAATTAAACTAGGCTCTCAGCAACTGATATAGCCATTTCCATAAAAATGACTATAAACATCCTTTCCTCTACTCACGATAAATATTAACGCATGAAATTTGATCGCCAATGAGGTGTACTTATAACCGATAACATAGTGATTTAGTGAAATGCAATCAATAGCCTGCAAAAAGACAGAAAGAACATCAAAGGGAGTTGGCACTATTCTGACTAATCACCCAAACGTTGAAGTTAGCTCTTTGATGATTCAACATTAAAAAGATAAGAACTAGGAGGTTTTGTTTGTGCCTCATAACATTCTGATTAAACATACATGCAGTGCCAGTAGTTTCTAAGAGTACTTGGGTCCTACTAAAAGTGATTCTATCATCTATTACCAATATTCGGTTTTTATCAATCTCCTTGTCAAATTTTGAGATTAATCTTATTACTTTACAAGCCTACTTGATGGCAATTTCCGATTAACAAAGTTATCTAGTCTTGATACTCTATTAAGCCAAGCAAGAAGATCATGTGTGTATTTTTTCCAGTGTCACATGTGTGTTTATAGGAAAATTAGTAGCAGCATTCCTCTTTCCAACTATGGTCACCTTCATTAGGCACCTTAGGTCAAATTATGGTGGCACTTAATACCCTCTCTACTCCCTTTTTGGTGACACCTAATCAACACCTTTTAAGAGGTATTTGGAGCCAACCTTGGTGACATGTTAATGCCACCCATAGGGCCAAGCATAACCTGTTCTCATGACAACTTGATCCAAAGTTAGTGAGAGCTTCATCTCTTCTATACATATGGGTTACCATTTCATTTTATTCTCACATTTAAAATTTGTTTCTAGGGAATTCATCGGTCTTAAAGAATTATTAGTCTCCATCTTTTGATTGCTTTTTCCAGTGAATCTTTACTGTTCGTTGTCTTTTGTTCTTCTTGGTATTTTGGTTTGGTAAATTTTTCTAATCAATAGTTTTCACACCTAGTACTAATTCCATGTCATTGATCCATAAAGAAATTTTATGCTTCGTACAAACGCCCAACTAGTGCTAATACCAGTGAACATGGTAGTATACACTAAAACTTAAGATAGTTTTTGCTCTTACTACATGTTATCTTTTTCCTCAATGTCCAGATAACACTAAGCCAGTGGTGGTGGTAATAGGGTTGAATGGTCTATCAACAAGGAGAAAATAAAATGCATGGACTCCATTCAACTTGTAAGTCTTTAGGATTACAAATTGGGCACCAAGTGCTCACAAGGGACATCAGAAAAAGGAGAGAATAATTTAATAGAGGGAATTCACACTGCTAATTCGTTTGCAAAATTCACATGTGGCGGTTCTAAAATTCGCAGGTGCATAAGAATGGTAGCTCTTTGACATAACGAAGTCAAATAACAGCTGCTACCAAGCATATTTAGAAGGGGTCATTGCCCAATCCCTCCTAAGGTTTCCCTAAAAGAACTTCCCTCTTATGGTATCCAAAATAACTATATCCCCCCTATCCATTAGGGTCCATCCATTAACCTTGAAGGGTGAATCATTTTTCAACCTTTAGGTTCCGCAAAAGTATACTTTACCCCAATTATCTTTTAAAGCAACATTTTCATCCTTAGCATTTGAGGGCTGATACTTCAAAATAAAATATAAACGGGCTTTTATCAATCCTTCTCAAGATTTTCTTTTTTCTAGATTATATTATTTCATATTAATTAATTTTATAATTATAATTATACTTATATTTCATAACTGTAAATTTTATTTTTAAATATCAAAGTAATTACTTTTAGTTATTGTAATAGGACTATACAAGGGTAATGAAATCTTCTCATAAGAGATGATAATGTCAACAAACCTGACTAATGATTGTTAAATCCAAGGATAAAAGTGTAACTTACATCCAACGTAAAGGATGAATAACTTCACGCTAAAGGATGAAAACGAATGGCACGAAGATTATAGTTATTTTGCATGAGAGGAAAACTATCTTTTAGGGAAATAGCAATTACCCCTACTCAGAAATTGCCAAGATTTCTACAAGACCTAAAAATTTTAATAGGTTAGCAATTATCTTTGTTTATAGTTAAAAAATTTCCAAGATTAGTCTATTGTCTTTAGGTTTTTATATCTATCTTGGGCAAATTTTATCTTTATCACCTTTTAATCTTATAATCGTGGGCTTTACAGTCATAAATAGGTCAATTATTTTATTAATCATCATCATTCATTAGTATTTCTTATATTTTCCTTTTGACTTACTTTTCTCATAGACTTGAAACCATATGCTCAACAATATTAGCCCCCTCATCCACTACATCAAGCAGTATACATAAAGATAAAATAACAAAAGCATTTGCCTCAATATGCACCTCCTAAGAGAAAGAAAAGATAGAAAAATTCTGAGTTGCATCGAAGACTCTCTCACTAAAGGCTTTCACATAACAATCTGTAAATCAGACACAAAAACAAATGGTAGTCGAATTGATGCATCAAAGAAGGGCAATCCATTAGGGATGTAAGACTGATTTTAAAAGCAATATTCAATGAGCTTATTCCAATCCTCCAAACTTTTGCTATCGTTTTCATCCTGAACATGTTATTGATTCGTTAGATGAAATAAAGGCCATTGAGTTTAAAGAGATTCTAGAAAGGAAACAAGCTAAATATCCAGCCCAGAAAGGATAATGTCTATTTTGGTAGGAACTTCTAGAATGTGAAAGAAAATGGCCTACAAAGGCACGGGGAAAAGTGAAACAATATTAAGTGCATGAAGGATAATTTTTTCCTACTCCCGAGGCTGAAACGTCACCCATAGGGAGAGAATAAGAATATGTTCCTAAAGCTTCTAAAGTGGAAGGATGATAAACTCTGAAGCAAACTATTCTCGTAGTCTCTAATTTAATCATTACATCAATACATATTGGATTGCACATATTGAAGAAGGTAAACAAACTGGTGAAGTAGAAAATTAATTGAGAAGATACAATTGCTTAAACTTGAGACCAAGTAAGATGTTCCATTTGAAAATATGGCTGAGAAGGTACAACACACTGAAGTTGAAGTAAAGCAAGATGATACGTAAGAGCAAACACTGTTAAGCTGAAGAACAAGAAGGTTGGACATATTGGAAAAGATACTATGTTCAATTTCCATTGATGGCATCGCGGCGTAACCATTATTTAGACGTATTACCTTCCAAATAAACATAACTTGAGGACAAATTATATCAAATTGCAATAGAAATAAAATAAAAGACTTTTATACAATAAGAACTTTTTTTTAACCAAAGGAAAGCTTTTATACCACTTGATGTAACTAATAAGGAGGTTAAACATTGCTTTAGCATATTTTCTCAAATCCATTAGTATATTGTCAGATACACTACAAACTAATTCTCCAAAGCAAAAATATAAAAAAATATTACTGAACACTAATTAATGATATATAAAGCCTGTTTATAGCTAATAATCCTAAGATAAATAAAAATAAAAGAATAAGAGATGATGAAGACAACAAAAGAAAAAAGATGACTATCAAAACCAAAGGTAGAAAAGAAAGGGGAAAAAAAAAACTAATCTTCCCAAAAGGAAAAAAAAAAAGGAAGAAAATGGGTAAAACCTAAGAAGATAAAAATCCTAACCAATCTGGCAATCTCCCCTATATCAATAACAACTCAAAGAATTTGATGAAGAAAATGATAGAAATAAAAACATCAGAAGACCGATAAGATCATTTCTACCAAAAATCTATGACTATCATAGGATACTGTAGGTATACTAAAAGTGGAAAAAAAAAATTCTACCAAGTAGTTCTCACTTTCTTCTAAACTCACCCACCAAAGAGCTAAATTGAGCTTCCAGATGGTTTTTCTATATTCTTTCTGCTAACTATTATTTGTATTCCCACCAACGAAAACTCCCATGTCATCAATCATAAACACAACGCACCACATAGTGATGAATTTCTCACTTCAACAATAAAATATTTCCAGAATTTTCAAAAACTACAAGTTCCATCAGAACAATTCTTCTTAAAAATTGGCCAAAAGAAAATAATCTAACACAGCAACTACAGAAAAATCATTAATTTCTACCAATACGTAAATTACCCATAAATACCTAAAATCAATTAAACCAAACAAACAAACTATGTTCCAACCAAAGCACCAACAAGTTTGTTTATTTCATTCAAGAAATCTAAAGCACTAAAGTTCCTCATTAACTCTTAATCTAAAGCACTAAAGTTCCTCATTAACTCTTAAACCAAAATGTATTTCATAAAACATAAAACAAAAACCTTCATATTCCAAGTTTTATCAATGTATTCAAAAAAAAAAAAACATTAAACAAAAACCTTCATTTTCCAAGTTTTACCAAAATTTATTCATAAAACAATACCTTCATTTTTTTCAAGTTTTACCGAAATGTATTTATAAAACACAAAACAAAAACCTTCATTTTTCAAATTTTACCAGAATGTATTCATAAAACAAAAACCTTCATTTTCAAGTTTTACCAAAATGTATTTATAAAACAAAAACCTTCATTTTCCAAGTTTTACCGAAATGTATTCATAAAACAAAAGCCTCCCTTTTCCAAATATTACCAAAATTTAGTAATAAAACATAAAACAAAAACCTCCACTTCCCAAGTTTTACCAAAATTTATTCATGTAACATAAAACAAAAACCTTCATTATCGAAGTTTTACCCAAGTTCATTCATTAAACATAAGACAAGAACCTTCATTTTCCAAGTTTACCAAAATTTATTCATAAAACATAAAACAAAAACCTTCATTTTCCAAGTTTTAGCATAATGTATTCATTAAACAAAAACCTTTACTTTCCAAGTTTTACCAAAATGTATTCATAAAACAAAAACCTTTACTTTCCATGTTTTACCAAAATGTATTCATAAAACATAAAACAAAAATCTTCAATTTCCAAATTTTGAAATTCAAAAGGCTATACATATATTGGATTACCTCTTAATTTCACAAAAAAAATTAAAAGACTAAATAATTAACTAACCAGTAACGAACAGCTTTGCACCGGGAGCAACGAGTGGTGGTGGGAAGAAAACAGACAGCACATTGATAGAACCGCGGCATGGAATCGTACTGATTCGCAGCTTCGAATTCCACCATGAGCGATTCCTCGGCGACGGCATTGAGGAGATTCGTAACCTTCACCTTTCTGACAGCGGAATCCCTCCATTTCTGCCGAATTACAACGCCAAAAACAAGCAAACAAACGACGAGGATGCCGTGAAACCCTAGAATTCCAGGGACCAGCATTTAGCTCAAATCCTAATAATTAAACCGGCGCCGAGGACGAGACCTGAACTGAGAAACATTGAGGCCGGTGTTTGAATGATATACATGAATTCGATTAGTGCGGCGTCGGTGGTGGTAGTGGTGGTGGTGGTGGAGGAGGAGGAGAGGGCGGTGGCGGAGGAATCAAGGGGTAGAAAGGGAAATGTAAGTGGTGGTTGTGTTGAATAAAGGATGATTCTTTTAGCATCTGGATTGAAAAAGAGGAGCGAGAGTGATTGTGAGAATAGAAAGCGGACTGAGTGGGATTGAATTCGTGAGTGAGTACGAATCTTTTTTTGTTTTTTTACATATTTTGTCCTGGCGTGGACGTGGGAAAGTAAATATTTGATAACCCATTAACTGAAATCCCCCTATCTTATTGTAGTGTTAGTAAACCCATAAAACTTAAGACAGGTTTTTGGAATTGGGATAGGGTTGGATTAGAGTATTGATAGCGTTGTCTCTTGTTTGGTGCATTACGAAACTGGATCGTGAATATAGGATAATGTTACACCAATAACTTTTTCTCATAAACTTCTTTTATAACCTTCGATGTTGGCGTTATCACATCAAAAGGATTTTGATTAGACAAAAAATCATCGTTCTTTCATAGAGAACAGTCATTCCTTATGAAAGAATGGTCATTCTTCACGAAAAGAATGATCATTCTTTATGAAGGAACAACCAAAGGAATGGTTGTTGATAAACAAGGAACAACCATTACTAATGGAGGGACGGTCATTCCTTATGAAATGAATGAATGTTCCTTAAGGAACAATATGAACAACCAAAGGAATGGTTGCTCCTTTGGTCGTTCCTTCATAAAAAACAATTATTACTTATGAATGAACGATCGTTCTTTTATAAGTAATAACCGTTCCTTTTGAAAGAACGATTGATTCGTTTCTAGTAGTGTCTTTGGTGTCTTGAGAGTAATAAGAGCTGACGTGACAGTGCCAATCTACCGACATGTTATAATTGTAAGAGAATATTGTGAGATTGGGTTGTAAATGTAATATTTTTCATATTAATAAGTTCTTTTTTTATGTAATTATAAAATAGCTTACAATTGAATTTTATAGTTAATTATTATTGAATACCAGTATTTTAACTTTTATTTACAATTAAATTTAGGCAATGTTGCTTTAAATCAAATGAATATTTATGTTAGAATAATTAGAAATAACATTTTTAGATTAATATAGGTACAGTAATTTATTTAGGAGTTTTTTAACTCCTATCTTGGGTAATCCCACGTGTATGGGCAGGATTGATAATCACACTACACTACTACATCAGGATTAAATTTTGAATTTAGGATAACCAGTCCAATCCGTTGAAAGCCACCAATACCAAACATGGGATATTGGTACCGAAATGAATTATCATTGAGAGTGAACATATTATTTAAATTTTAGGGGTGTTTATGTCATTTTCTGTTTACAGTTAAATTTCAGGTCAAACATCCTAAAGTGTCTTTTGATTGACATTTCTCAAAACTTGTGTCCCCTGATTGATACATTAGAAAAATTATATGCCTTTAAATAACATGCCATTATGAGTTAATATATATTTATTTGAACATCTAAAATTTATTAGTACGTGGATATTAATATCAAAAACCTAGGGGATATTGTTAATTAATCATGCCTCAGGGGGGGAAATGTCATTAACTCAAAAGTAAATTACGTACCAATCTCTTCTATTTTCTCTTTGGAGTTTACTACATACTTGTAATCATATTTACTTGTTTTACACGGAATATGTTTTATAAATTAAATTTTAGCGAAAATACAATTATATAAAAATTAAAATTAAAGAAATCCAAAAATTAAAATTAAAGAAATCCAAAATTTATAATTTAAGAAATATAAATGTAATAGAATAGGTGAATAGGAGTTCAAATAGAAGTGTGGGTAGGCTTAGGCCTTAGAGTGTGCCTGTTCTGGTAAAGTATAATTGAGCTATTTTAGGATGGTACTACCTAGGAATTATGTTAATATTAATAATAATAAATACATTTATGACATTAAATACTTTGAGTTAAAAGTTTGGTTAAACATTTAGAGTCAGTTTGTTTTATTATTTTGGATATGATTTTGAGAATAATATTGGGTAGTTGAATAGGAGAGTATTACGAGGTAAAATTTAAAAATTTACAAAAAAAAAAAAAAACCCCTAAGTTTGCTAATTTAACTAAACACCTCAATATATAAAAAAATTATAAAATGACAAAAACACCTCCACCCACTCACAGTGTCAGATTCCAGCCACCGCCACTGGAATCTAGCCGAAAAATGGCGTTACAACGCAAACCTGTCGGATCTAGCGGGTAGGACGTCGATATGGCCTTTTCCGGCCAGATCCACCACGGATCTAGCCGAAAAATGTCAGATCTACGGTAAGATCTGGTCGTCGACGGTCACAAAAGTCCAGATCTACCAAAGATATAGCAAAGATCGATGAATTACCGACCAGTTTCGGTCGATTGTAGCCTGTTGTGACAGATTCCGGCTACCACCGACGGTGTTTGTCGGAATCTGGTAAGTATGGGTGGGTAGGGGTGTTCTTGTTAATTTTTAAACCTTTTTTTCTAGGGGTATTTAATAAAATTAATAAACTTAAAGAGTCTAAAACTAATTAAAAAAATATACTAATATTTCTCAAATAACAAAACAAACAAGTATTTTGCGAATATAGGTAGAAATAATAAAACAAATGGAGCCTTAGTGACGGATTTGTTTTTTAACATTCACCTAATATTGAAGGAGGCAGAAAATGACTGCAAACTCCTGCATAAATATATATCCTCATTTTCACAAAAATAAATTAATATTTAATGAGAATCTTCAACTGTGTTTAATGAGAATTTTGAATAATATATATATATACACACACACATAATCCAATCTCACAACCTTCTCTCACAACTTTGACATAACAGCTCGTAATTGGTCAGTTCACAAATAGGCAAGCAAGATCCATTTGCGAGCTATCAAGTCGGAGGTTTTAAGAGAATGTTGTAAGATTGGATTGTGGACCTATACTCATATATATATATATATATATATATTATATTATATTATATTGTAGATTAGATTGTGGACATATATTATCTTGTGTGTGTACGTGTGACAAATGTCCGTCACACAAATCAAGTTTTATAAAGTTAAAATTTTATATTAATACTTTTTTTTTTAATTAAATACTAGTAAAATATATAAAATTATATTATAAAAAAAAAACACACACACACATATATATATGTGTGTGTGTGTGTGAGCGACAAATGTCCGTTGATACAAATCAAGTTTTATAAAGTTAAAATTATATATTAATACTTTTCCTTTTTTTTTTATTAAATACTAGTAAAATATATTTAATAATTGTAAAACATATATATATATTTTTTAATGAAATATGTTCTTTATATGAGTATAAGTGATGTTATTGACACCCCAATTGTTTATCTAATAAAATCCTATCTCAAGGATAAATTTGTAATGTTGAAATGTATTACAGTTAACCATTCTTAAAGCACTATTTTAAAACTCGGATTGGATTAGTGGATTGGTTGGTCTGACCGGTTCAACTGGGACCCAGGCTCAACTTTGGTCCAGGTTAATAGTAAAATCGATAATAACTAAAGAACCGCTTTAGATTGGTGGTACAATGCAAACCGGTCAATGCGACCGGCCAGAAGCTTAATCTAGTCCACTAATTCCCTTGCATCAATTTCATTCTCCATTTTGTTTTCAAGTTTCACTCTTAGTCAAGCCAGCAGCCCAGCACAACAACAAGCATTTTCCATTTTCATTGCAATATCAGTCGAGCCAATAGCAAGCATCCTTCCATTATCGAAATAGAATCTTCTTCATCTTCTTTGACTTCAACTTCAACAACACCAATCGAAACTCGAGAGATTCTCTTCATCTTCTTCACTGATTTTACAAGTTAGATTCTTCATCTTCTTTTAATTCTCTAAATCTTCCATCTTCATCTCCAAAGGTATCTAAACCCTAAAATGCTTTTTTCTTTTTACTCTTCTATTCACTAAAATGCGGCTTATTATGAGTATAACGTGATACAGAATCACTGAGGATCTAAAAGAAATTCTTTTTGCTCTTCTCTCCACTAAAGTTCAACTTATTTGCAGGTAAGTTCTTTTTACTTTTCTCTTCACTTAGATTGTTTTACATAAATAGCTTTTGAAATAAAATAGCCTTTGCCTTTGTAGTAATTGTTGTATAAGATCTATAAGCATTAGGTAATTAAGCAATGTCCATCCCTTACCACCAGCTTGTGCCTTTTCTATTGGATTTCGTCATTAGTAATATAGCAAAGTTTCAATCCATGTTGTTGTATAAAAGTTTTCACGAAATGACACATTCTACTTTTGATTATTGAAATGAAGACTTTGAAATCGGTTACAAGTTTGTCTTTTTATACAGAAGCATTAAGTCATTCTTCATATATCTATAAACCAAACATCTATTGCTTATAAAACCATCAAATTGTTCAACGTCTCCTCTGAAAGCCGCAAAACCAAGGTTCACAATTGTTATGCCTGGGAACTTAGGGCTGACGTGGCACCCTGGTAAGTGCGCAAGGTCAGGCCTCGGGAAAAGCCTACTACCATCCTGACGTAGCTGCTTCGTGTGATCACGGTGGCACCCACAGCTTCCTTCCGTCAGAGTAATGGGTGCACGTTAGGCCAGCAAGAAGATGTGATGATCCCACGTGTCCAACCCCTGCGGCAAATCACGTGAATTACTCTAAACAAAGGATTTGCACAGATCATCTCACCAACTTGCAGATTCAGTGATGATTGTCTCAAGACATCCCACTATAAAATGGGAGTTCCTCTCTCATTAAAGGGATTCGCACATTTTACTCTTGAAAAAAAACATCTCTCTCTAGAAAAGACAATCTTCGATACCTTGTATCATCAGTGTAAAATCAGTCGTCTAAAGCGACCTGACCATCATCATAAATAAAAATATCAGTGGACGTAGGATTTGCTTCTTTAGCATCCGAACCACTTTAAAACTCTTTTCTCACTGCATTTACTTTCATTTTTCTAAAAACCTTTTACGTGTGTCTTTTGGGGCCAACTCAACATTTCATGTGTGTTTTTAGTTGGTGTCAAAATCGTGCATCAACAACAATTAAACATCTAAAATAAAATCAAAACTCATGTTTATTTCAGATCCATACTCAACCAAAACATGAAAAACAAATATTTTAACAAAGAGTT